GTCCGTCCTGCAATTCGATCCGCAGCTTGAAAACGAAGAACGGATTGCTGGTATGGAAGGGCGCGAGTTCGCCACGTACAGTGTGGTTGGCGGTGAGTTAAATTGTCAGTATTGCCAAAACATGCATGCTGCGTAGAGCACATTAGATGGCGTTTGTCACCTGATTCTTATGCATTCACGCGACTCGTCTTCCCCAGTTTATTGTTAATTAGGCAAAGTTTATGTACTTTTGGAGGTGTAAAAAATCTTATATTTATGAGATGCTCATAATCCTTGTGTTGTTTGCGCATGTTTCTTGTTGTAATATTTGTCGGTGAAATTTAGGTTTCGAAAAATTCCTACAATATTATGAATTCCCATAAGATATTATCCAAATTCAGCATATGGTGAAATGTTTTGGGCAAACACTGGCACTTAAGAATGAATGTATTACAGTAACGTCTTAGTACTTGTTATTAGCATGAACATATTAAGGTATGGATGGTTAATGTTTCATGCTTCTTGGAATAATATTTCACAGAGGATGTACTTGAGGGAAAATGGCACGTGGATTAAAAAGGTGTGTCGGAGTTAAAAAGAGACAGGGAATCAGTAAGACTCCTTACGACTGTATGTTGAATATTGATCGTTTATTTCAGATGTGTACATGCGTCAGTTAGCCGCTTAACGTTGACGAACGTAGGACCGCATGTGTTGGAGTGAAAATCTACAAAATATGGGCAACAGTAGCTAATGTAGCCCCCCCCCTCATTCAACCCTTCTCCTAACACGTCATCCTAAGAAAACGGTGATTATAGGGTTAAATGCGTGGGGAATTAGGATACGCAGTCGCATAGTTTAATAACTGCTATATACATTTGTATTTTATCGCATTTTTATGTGTTGTTGATTTATGTGTGTAGATTTTACTAACCTATATTATAGTTTAACATATTGTGGATAACATCTTTTATGAAATTGCAGGTTTCTTGAAATTCCCGAAAAATTGAACTAGTGGTTAGGAGGTCGTCTACTTCAACTTACCTGAGGCCCAACTTATCGTTCTGTAATTAGATAAGTATAGTCCGAGGCGCGAAGTGCCGTGAACACCTTCAGTTTACCTGCGGAACAACTTACCCCCAGCATCTGGGGGAAACAACTTTGAATACATTTTTCACTTGACACTTACTTCTAAAAATTCCCTTCTCTGCCTATCCTACTTCCCTGTACCTCCAAAACCCTATAATCACCGGCTGCATACGACAAAATGCTGTGACAAGGGGTATATGAGGAGGACTACATAAGCTACTTTTGTCGATATAGGTAAGCACCCGAATTATACCATTCGCGTTTTTTACCTCAGTATCCTCCAAATGCGGGTATTGTTTACATACGGGCAGGTCTACAAATCGGCGGGCGGTCGGTTTTTGCTCATTAATATGTGTACCGGAAGCCGATGCCTATGACCAACCTATTTGGAGGGGCTGTAAGCGCAGGTAATTTAAAATAATACATTCGCCTACGTTCACGTGTGCGTTTACACACCACAATTTGACTCCGGTTTTGACCATGTTCAGAATGTGCCTAAAAGAGCGTTCTGCAGGGAGATCCGCACTCATTTGTCCTACAAAAAGTAACTTATAATGTCTTACACTAAAGGTGGGTTGTGGCAGGCGTCCGCAATGCACATATTCTACGGCCGCCTGCTGAAGCAATGACTATTCAGTTAATCATTGCCTGTCTAGCGTTGTTTTTTTTTTCATTTAGCAGGAACATCTGACTCAAATGTGTTCCCGCATACATGTTTCATTTTTCGTGGAGGACACCTTAGCTGATTTCCTGCTGGCTACTTACAAATGAACTCTAATGAAGCATTCTTTAAACATCTTGTTTTGTTCGACTGTATAAGCTGCTTTGAAAAAATGACCTTGCGCTGTTCGACAGACTTCTAAACTACAGTTCTGCCAGTTCTCTCTAACAAGTACAGTTCTCTAAAGCCGTTCTCACTTTTTTTAAAAGCCGGGTACCTGCCTCGCGTACCCGCTTACAATTTTTCCTCTTCGATAGAAAGCAGTTTCGCAGTTGGAGGAGCGTCTGAGCAGCAGCTAGGTATAACAACGCCAGCTATACCAATTACCATTTAATAAATTATCGCCTGTCTTTCGGTTTGTTTTTACTAACCAGGGATATCTGGGTCGCTGTTTCGGCGTTTTTTTCGTTGAGAGCACTTACGGTGATAGCAATTTAACGAAAATACTTAATGAACCACTTGCTTAACAAATACA